CTTCATTTATTAAATACAAAAGTTGAGATAGGGAGAAACGATTTCTGTAAGTGCATTTTTCGAAAATGGAATTGTTGGCCACTCGAAGAAAAAAAAAATTAACAAAGAAAAAAAAGAAGAAAAAAAAGTGATCAGTTGGCCACCATCTTTCATGCACTTATGATAAATAGGAGTCATTCTTCAAAAGCCACATTGGCTACATTTTAAACTCCTATTAATCCTCAAAATCTTCTCCCTTGTCTATATTCTCATCTTACAAAGATAAGCAGAAAAGTCATGGTTTTCGAAGAAAAAAAAAATTTGGAACCTTGAACTCACCACCAGATCGAAAGTACTTCCACATGTCCGTAACCCTAACCCCATTTGACACCCGATCAAAGACCTACCTGACAAGTCAGTGGTGACACAACTTTGGAGACTCGAACAATAAGCTCATGGCGGAGAGATGGTAGGGAAAGAGTGATAATTACATGCTAAAATAACATAAATTGTACCAAGTTCATTCGATTTCCCGATTTTATGCTTGGTTTTGTGTTTGAGTCATGTTTCAGGGTATTCTATCCAACAAGAACGGAATAATGAGTCAATTCAACAAAAAGATGGTTAGGGTTCGAAATCTGGCGTCGGTAGAACTCGAACCCGCGACGTCCCAGGCGAGGGCAAAGGGCCGTACCACTTCAGCCGCGTCCCCTTTTGTTATCAATATACGAAACCCATCGTTTATTATGGTGATGAATCACGGAAAGAGAGTCAAACCGCAAACTGCAGAGTCAAACCGCAAACTGCCAAACATAAGGAAAGCTGGTTCATTTTGGGATTCTCAAGGGAAGCTAGTAGCTGTAGCTAGTGGCTCACGTCCAAATAAAGAAGCAAGCAGCTGGAGGATGGTTGGTGTCAAATGAAGAAGCAAGTTGGTCCCAAAAATAGAAGCTAGCTGGTCAATTACTTGGGAAGCAGGCTGGTCCATACGTAGGAGCAAGCAGGTCCATTATTCGGGAAGCAAGCATCTGCATCGTACCTCCTAAGCAAGCAGCTCCTCCCTTGCCTTTGTTGCTCGATCGTAGCTGAAGCTAGTAGCAGGTGCAAATCACGTTAAGCGAGAGCAAGCAAGCTGGAGAATTAAATGGACAAGCAAGCTGGTCCAAATAATGAAGCAAGCACGTCCATTGTAGCTGCCTCGTCCATTATTTGAAAGCAAGCAGCTGCCCATCGAAAGCAAGTAGCTGGCCATTATCAAACGGTCAAGAGACAAGCAAGCAGCTGGTCCATTTATTACAAGCAAGTAGCTCAAGCAAGTAGCTCAATTTGTACTATAAATAGAGGGAGAGGACACACACACTAGACACAATATACTTCTACACTTTGCTCCTCCTTTCTTGTATTTGAAGTTAGCCGAAACTCTGTCCACTTTTCATTCCAAACTCTTGTTACTTCTTTTCATTTCGTTAATCATATCTCGTGTTTCAACCATCGTGGTTCTCATGTTCGTATTCGTATTTGGGAATACCGTGATATATTGCGTTATTGAGATTACCAAAGTAAGCTTCTGTTCTGTGGGGTTTTGATAATCATTTGTGGTGGTAGATTGGTCGGTTTCCACCGTCTTCTCCCAACGATTATTCCCCCGTCAGATGTTTGCTAGGTGTAGTCTATTAACTCAATATACATACCGTATTCTCAACCCCTCCGTCTTTGTCGTCGTCATCATCATGGTAATGTTCTCAACCTTACTCTTTCTAAATCTCATCATGTCCGGCTAATCTTCTAGTTGTTCCGGATTTGATGAACCCTAATATGTTTTGCTTTGATTGAGTGGTATCTTTGATATAGACGTGTTGTTCTCGTTCTTACGATCTTTTCTCGACTTATCATGTGCAAGTATCAATAGTACCCGTCTATTGTATATTTTGTCTGATACATGTAAATGAGACTGCGAGGTAATTTTGCATGTTAGATCCCTCGTGAAAAGAAGGAATTGATCGGAGCCACCGGCGATGGGGTCACGTAGTTCCTCTGGATTAGCTTAAAAACCTAATACGAAAGTTCATAAATCTGGTTATTGCTTTGGTTTAATATTTTTGTAAGCCACGGTTTCACTTGATTCTTAAGTCAAAAGTGTGTTAATACATGTGCGGACGGGTTAACACTAAATTGGGAATTTTCACGGTCTAAGATATTAATACTCGTCTATGTTAAATTCAACTTGTCTGTAAAATGCATATTAGGGGGATTCACTTCCGGGACAACGCCTTCTCCACTTGATTTTACTTTGAAAACTACTTTATTGTGTTTTTATTATTGCGTGTGTCTTTATTTCTAAACGAAAATCAACTAAAAACGATTGACTAGATAATAGGTAAAAGCTGAGTACTAGTACACGAAGTCTCTGTGGATATGACCTTGCTTCCTGCTATACTACATTAGAACGATAGGTACCCTTGCCTATTTTTCCTGTGATAGTTACGGGCGATCACTCGTCGATGTCGACCTTGTAAGGCGTCGTCGGAACAAGTCATGAGGGAGGGTGAATCCGTTGGAGAAGTCCGGCCAGCGTCCAGCTCCGCGGCCAATGTCGACACGTTACAAGAGATTTCGGGGAGCTATTCAATGAATCAAAATGGATCGATTGTACCTCCATTGCTGAATCCGATTCGAGCAGAATTTTGCTCTGTAAACGGGCAAACTCGACCTAAAATTGAGTCTATTGGTTGGAACAGCTGAGGACAATTCAACACGTAATGGAAATGCAGAAGCATTGGGAATTGATGTCCAAAGCCGTAGGAAGCTTCAATTTCGTCCAAAGCTCTCTATGGTAGAAATGCCCAAATCAAATTCAGAACTTATGGGTTCTGAAATTTCGAAAGTCGACAATGGCGGTAAAGGCACGAACGATAATTTAAATCATGAGACCCATCCAGAAAATCGAATCGAATTAGGAAAAAGACGATGGTGGCGGTGGATTGCGGTAGAGATGCTCGAATTCAAAATCCCCAATTTGAGACCTGAAGAGCGAAGCCCTAATTTCCCAGAAATGACAGTTTGCGAAGGTCTCTTTCAATCCAATTTGGGACCAATTGCTGGAGATTTTGAAGAACGAAGGACCAAAGCTTTGAGATCAAAGATTTTTTTATGGGGGAGGGACTGATATGATCTCAAACTGGCCATTAACCAGACTAGAATCGATTGAGCGAAAAGGCAATCCAAGAGCATTGGAGAACACTAATTTTTGGTTAAGTCTTTTGATCATTTCAGGTAGCCAATTTTGGACGTGTGTAACTCGAGATTGGCTTGGTGAAAATTTGAATTCAAGGGCTTGTATTGAAGAAGAAGAGTTGTTCTTTACATCGCCATATTTTGATGTTCAAAAGGAAGCTAAGAAGGTTGTTTTTCGGGTAGATAAAAGTGCTTGTTCAACAGAGGCAATATTGCCAAAATTGGCTAAGTTTTGAAACGAGTTCATGACGGGGACTTTGAGCTTCAATTCGAGGAGATTGAGTCAGGTTCAAATTGCAAGGTTGATATCCCATGAAACTAGGCCTTTCATAGTGCAGCGTCGTGGAATTGCAAGGTTCGAATTTGCTAATTCACCATCGTTAGGAATGTGAACACTGCAAACCGTCTGTGAACTCAAGCAATCGAGGGTTTGACACACGTGGAAGCACCTTGGTTCACAGACGCGTTTGCCTGTTCACGGACTTGTAAGACCGTGAACAAGGCAATCCATCCGTGAACATCGCTGAAAACAAGGTACTTCTGAAAATCTTTACTTGACCTACTCCACCGTGCCTACTATCATTCACGACACAACTCAAAACACATAATCACAAAAACCTGGCACGAGGATACCAATTGAACACTTGAACTCTTGACTCGACACAAAAAAGAAAATAAGGAAAAGAAACAAACCTACGATGGGTTTCCTCCCAACAAGCGCTAAGTTAACGTAGCTAGCTTGACGTTGCGGATCTATCACACCTTTGAACGTGATCCCGCCGAGAGTGGATCCGCCACATTCTCGGGGCAAGGCATGTCACCTCCCAACTCGCTCTCCATTGGGTGGCCTTCTCGGCCAATGACTTCCGCTTTTCCATTTTCCTTCCACCAGGCATTAGCATAACTTATCCTTTCCCTCCAAGCTCTTTTCCTTCCTTCTTTGGGCGAGATGCCCCTTTGCTTTCCTGCTTCACATCACACACGAACCAACAATAATAGTGGGGTTCGCCTTGTGACATGCTAAAACACAACACCAAACTGCGGCCAAGCTTAATCGCAATCTGGAAATGCAGTAAGTGGCAAGCTCTATTTATCAACCCGGGGCCTAGATCTACTGCATACTCCGTGACTATTTATTATCTAGCAAACTAAGTCGAGTGATTGTGGTTTTAACTAAAAGTAGTAATAAAGCAGGAAATGGTTCGGTTTTCTAAAGCAAGGGAAGAGTCACTCATGAATGAGTCCCCCTAGCTCCTTAGTTAGTTCACAGTTGTAATTACTTTTGGTTGCTTTACTGTTGATTATACTGCGGAAGATCCGACTGTAGCTTGGAATCTCTTAAGCTGACCAAGCCCTCTAAATCAAACTTCCTGGCAGACGACTAGTCTTCACCGGGATAGAAAGCTGAGGCTATGAACATAGAACTCCACTACTGGAACTGAATTCATGTACAAAGTAGTAAATCGGCTAACTCTCGTATAATCGATTCACTACTACCGATTGAAGAAGCTCTAACAACCTAATCAGATTATATCTATCTCAAGTTGCAGCAGAAATCAATAAAAGATGATCAGACTTCAATTGACTCAATCAAAACACTTCAATCGATTATAATCTAACAATATCACAATCCAAACGTCGTTACAACAATGATCCCTAACACATAGAACTAGGGTTCTTCATACCCAAGGGAGAGAGGGTTCTACTCCATAGAGAGAGAGAGAGAGGTAAACAGCAAACAAAGCAGTCATACTCATCAAGATAAGAAGAATCTGCTCTGGGATGATGATCTTCACTCCAAGGATGATTTCCAAGCTTGATTGATGAAACCCAACTCCAAAACCACTCTTGGGGGGTGTTCTTCGCACTTTCTCTCTCTAGGGCTCTGTTTTTGCTCCAGAAAATTGATACCCTCTCCTTTGGCTCGAAATTTGGTTAAAACCCAGAATTTCCCAACCACACGGCCGTGTGGATTCCCAGTTTGCTCGTGTGAGAGTGGAAACGCCGCGTTTCAATTAAGTAGTCTTCAGGCATGCTGCACGGCCGTGTGGATTTCAAGCCTGACCGTGTGAGCTCCCTGGAAATTCCACACGGCCACAAGGGGTCCAATACATGGCAGTGTGGCTTGGCCGCGTAATGGGATTCCACATGGCCACACCACACGGCCATGTGGATGCTAGGTATGGCCGTGTGGATTCTTCAGCTTCTCGCCAGACGTCCAACTTTCGTCCAATCGACCCGAAACTTGCTCCCAAAATCGGGTAAAGGAAGAGTCTCCCTTCTGTTCACCAACCAAGATAGACTGGACTCAATCACTTAGCCAAGACAGTCACTTCATGCACAAAAGTCAAGATATCAGAATTAAGACCGAGCAATCTAGGTCCTCACCGGGGTAAAGAGTAAAGAGAAAATGAGAAAATGAATCGCTCACTCTCGACCAGTGGGGTCAGGACACTTTGATCCGAAAAATGCGCATGCTTATTCTCTCAAATCCTAACGTCTCTTCACCATGATGGCAGCCTCTAAATGTTAGAGTTCACACAAGGGATGTAACCACTAACTAATCCGGAGGTCTTAGACACAGGTTCAAGTGACTTGCTAGGGTCTTGGATATGCGGAAAAAGCCTTTTAGGTGGTGGAAGTATTCACAGCACAAGGTTCCACAGTTCCAAATCCAACACATTCACAACCAATCAAACCAGTAACCAATCAAACCAGTATTTGTCAGCTCGACCTGGCCATCCGGCAGGATGCAAGCGAGTGAGTACTCGGATGGCCAGGGTGGTCGTGGTTCAGGAGGTGGAACCAGCTAATAGTGGTCGCCACCTTTCTTCCGAGCAGGCTTAACCACCTGCGGCTTAGGCCGCCACTCCTCCTTGATCTTTTTGTTTGGTACTGAGGTCGAAGGGAGTGGCGGTGAAGGAGTGAGAGGGGGATCCTGCAAAATGAGAGGCACAGACGGATACACGACAGGCTTGTGCACCTGGTGAGAAATAGCATGCACAGGCGAGGCAACATGCACATTATTATTAACGATAGAGAAAGTTATCTGCTCCTCGCCATCTCTCGAAACCAAATTCCCATCACGAATATCTATGAGGGCCCTGGCGGTGGCCAGGAAGGGCCTTCCTAGAATAAGGGCACTTATGTGTCTTCATTGATGTCTAAGACAACAAAGTCCACAAGATAAAAAAATTTGCCAACCTTCACCAGCCAGGAGGTCTTCCACTATACCCCTAGGATGAACCACAGATTGATCGGCTAATTGAATACTCATCTTAGTTGGGATGGGTTCACTTAGGCCTAGTTTTCTGAAGAATTTGTATGGGATAACATTGATACTAGCACCTAGATCTGCTAGGGACCTCTCTATATGTAATTTGCCAATGGAGCAAGGGATAGTGAAATTACCTGGGTCCTTCTGCTTCTCTGGGAGCTTGCTCTGCAGGATGGCCGAACACTCCACGCTCAGCATTACTGTCGAGAGATCCCCAAGTCCCTTTTTGTTGGTAAGGAGATCCTTCATCAATTTTGCATACTTGGGCATCTTTGACAGTGCCTCCACGAACGACAGGCTGATGTTCACCTGCTTCAGCATTGCCATGAATGTTGCAAACTCAGCCTCCAGCTTGTCCTTTTGTAGTCGAGTGGGGAAGGGAAGCTGGGGAACATGCTCCTTAACCACCAGCTGTGGCTTGGGAGCAGGTTCTTCCTTCTCCATCCTCACTTCTGCATTGTCGGCTGGAAATGCTGAAGCAGGTAGTGGCTGCTCTGCCTGGCCGGGGCAGGTACAGCCGATGTTAGCTTGCCACTTCTGGTAGTGATGGGTGATGGCATTTGTAACATCTCGTTCCGACAAAACCCATATTTCGATCGCTAAAAATTTCGCGATTTAAAATCGAGTGTTTTGATAGTATTTCGACAAAAATCGGATTATCGATCGATCGGATAAGTATACGTATTAATTATATATACATATATTATAATTAATAAAAGAAAAAAACAAATAGAAAAGGACGGAAAAGCTAAAGCGGTCGTAGCCCTTATGGATTTATATAAATCCAACTCAGACCCAATTCCCTGTCCATTTCCCATCAAATTCTTCTTCTTCCTTTTATTGCCGAGAAGCAGAGCGCGCAGGGGAGCTTTGGCGAGAGCATGCCAGAGCTTGATTCTTGAGCATTAGTAATCCAAAAATCCCGTAAGTAATGCCTAATCCATCTATGCATCGTGATTTATTGATTTAGAGCTTTAAAACGAGTTTTTTGTTCAGGAATTTCTTGAATTCCCGATAAGCCAAATTAGGGTTTCGGAGTATCCGGAAGCCGGATTGAGCCCAAATTTCATATACGAGCTTCCTGCAGCGAGGTAATCAATCCTCTAGTTCTAATCCTTGAATTTCGGCAATTATTTAGGTCGGGGTCCAAATCGCTGAATTTAGCTCCGGCCAGGGTTTGATGTGTTTTATCAAGAATTTGACCCGGAGCCTAGAACTAATATTGACGGGGATACTGCAGGGGATATTAGGACAGTCTCGGATTTTAATTCGGGGTTCGTTCGTGAAACTGACGTTTTAGTACGGGAAGGTTAAACCGGTGTTTGAACGACCAGAACTGGTGAGGGATTAGCACGGCATACCGGGTTTTTCGTATCACGATAATTATATTGATGCTTAGAATTGACCTAGGTGAATTAGAATGACATGATTAGGGGTGTATGGACTTTTATGCTATATGATGAACCATGGATTGTTTTTTGATATTATTGACTTGCCCTAATCGATATGGACCTTGTTTATGTCGATGATTGCATACATGTTGCCATTTGTGGCTTAACTGTTGATATGACTTCCTGGTTGTTCGATAATGTGTTTTGACATGATGTGATATTATGGTTGTATTTGGATCCATAAGTGGGGGAATAAACTTCCCAATGTGATATTATGATGTTTAAGGAGGATGACTTGCACGAGGGTTCACCCCGAGGAAGTGACATTATACGACTCCTGTTTTACCTATGTTGAGCCAAGTATGGCCCGGTCAAGTACATGTACAAGTAACGAATTATGAATAAGCAAGATGAGATATGGATCATGTATAAGATTACCAAATAAGAGTGATTTGGTATCATGGTCAATTACATAGTAATTAGGGCTCCCCATGCTATTACTCCGTTATGATATGTTATGTCACACCCCTGATGTGGTGTTGACCGTTGATTCATCATGAGATATGACCACACCCAGAGTGGTGTTGGGTCCGATATGACCACACCCATAGTGGTGTCAGGTCCGTTATGACTACACCGGCAGTGGTGGGTCCGATATGACCACATCCACGAGATGTTTGGTCCGTATTCCCGGGAGAGTAATTAGCATGGGAGTAGCCAGTCGCCTATAAGTAAAACATGATAAGACGCATATGCATAAGTCAAGGTGGTTGAGTCTTTTGCCTATTGGGATGTCGGATGGCTGAGGTCTGATCCTAGTGCTTTGGCTTATTTGCTAGATGTATGGTAGAGGTATGCTATGTTATGAACTCACGATGCTATGATTATCTCACTCAGCTATGAGCTGACCCTCTTTTATTCATTTTCTCTGATTATGCTATGTGTAAGCAGATTATCAGCAGCAGCAGTAGATAAGTGTTAGGTGGGAGCTTAGCAAGAGTTGAAGGCAAAATGAGGTATGGTCGTCAACTATTTTGTGCTTGGACTACTACTCGGGATTTTGGCCAGTGATCCACACCTTTTTGTAAAATGTTTTGAGAACGTTTTTCATGTGCATACTAGCTTGTGATGTAGTGTGAGATATCCACAGGTGTGGAAAGTTGATGATATGTGTATATTTGTGTAATTATGTAAGTTGTTACGATTATGGCATGTATCAGTATAGTATGCAGTTGTGTAACATGAAACTGTGACTATGGCTATGAAAAGCCAATGCGTATGGCAGGGAGTGTATATGCTTGTCTATGAATGCATGGATTTTAGATGAATTATTTTGCAGGATTAGATGGAAGAACTGTTAGCCCATTACGCGAGTATTTCATGTCGAAATTTTATTTGGGTAAATTTGATAATTAATGTAACACCCGAGATTATTTCCGCTGCAATTGTATGAACAATATGATTAGGTAATACGTATAGGGTAGGGTGTTACAGTTTGGTATCAGAGCTGGTTTGTTTTCTGCATTATGGGTATGTTACTTTCGCTCTTGAGGACTGATCACCCTAAAAAAAGGCAGGGAGTACTCCATACCTGTACTTGCACTAAACTTGCCAGGAATTGAGACCATGGGTGATGATGTGTTGCATAGTTAGTTGCATATGGTCAAACTTGATTCTGAGTATTTGAAGGTGCTTTTTTAAAGAGCTGCTTCTGCATCTTGAAAATTTTATGGTTTAAGAGATTTATGAAAATATGTGGAAATTTTATCTTGTTGTCCAAGTAATGATTTTGAAGAAAGTTTTATTTCAACCAAGTGAATAACTTGGTTAGACAAAAATGGTGTGTGGATCAAACTAAGGCTAATGTTTCCTTGTAGTTTGCACAGAAGTACTTTTAGTGTTACTACTAACCAATCGAGAAGCATGGTGGCTAGCTATGCAATGCAGTTGATCTTCGACTAGGCTAACATGACGAGTTGTTGTGGTAGAGTTCTTAATATGGATATGATTCTTGATGTTGTGGTGGCTAACGTTTTCAAGGTTAGCTACCTTGTGTTACTGTGATATGCTTTAAACTTGTTTATGTGAGTATGCTATGTACTTGTGATAACCCAATATAGGGTTGAACCTATAATTGGGGATTTGAGATGTTATGTGTTTAGTTATGTACTTCAGATCTCCTAACCTAAGAGTTAGGTAGTAACAAGATATGTGATAGTATCTTTCAGGAAGAGAACGAGTAGATGCGAGAATTGACTCAAGGTTAGATTTCGGGGACGAAATCTTTTTAAGGAGGGGAGAATTGTAACATCTCGTTCCGACAAAACCCATATTTCGATCGCTAAAAATTTCGCGATTTAAAATCGAGTGTTTTGATAGTATTTCGACAAAAATCGGATTATCGATCGATCGGATAAGTATACGTATTAATTATATATATATATATATATATTATAATTAATAAAAGAAAAAACAAATAGAAAAGGACGGAAAAGCTAAAGCGGTCGTAGCCTTTATGGATTTATATAAATCCAACTCAGACCCAATTCCCTGTCCATTTCCCATCAAATTCTTCTTCTTCCTTTTATTGCCGAGAAGCAGAGCGCGCAGGGGAGCTTTGGCGAGAGCATGCCAGAGCTTGATTCTTGAGCATTAGTAATCCAAAAATCCCGTAAGTAATGCCTAATTCATCTATGCATCGTGATTTATTGATTTAGAGCTTTAAAACGAGTTTTTGGTTCAGGAATTTCTTGAATTCCCGATAAGCCAAATTAGGGTTTCGGAGTATCCGGAAGCCGGATTGAGCCCAAATTTCATATACAAGCTTCCTGCAGCGAGGTAATCAATCCTCTAGTTCTAATCCCTGAATTTCGGCAATTATTTAGGTCGGGGTCCAAATCGCTGAATTTAGCTCCGGCCAGGGTTTGATGTGTTTTTATCAAGAATTTGACCCGGAGCCTAGAACTAATATTGACGGGGATACTGCAGGGGATATTAGGACAGTCTCGGATTTTAATTCGGGGTTCGTTCGTGAAACTGACGTTTTAGTACGGGAAGGTTAAACCGGTGTTTGAACGACCAGAACTGGTGAGGGATTAGCACGGCATACCGGGTTTTTCGTATCACGATAATTATATTGATGCTTAGAATTGACCTAGGTGAATTAGAATGACATGATTAGGGGTGTATGGACTTTTATGCTATATGATGAACCATGGATTTTTTTTGATATTATTGACTTGCCCTAATCGATATGGACCTTGTTTATGTCGATGATTGCATACATGTTGCCATTTGTGGCTTAACTGTTGATATGACTTCCTGGTTGTTCGATAATGTGTTTTGACATGATGTGATATTATGGTTGTATTTGGATCCATAAGTGGGGAAATAAACTTCCCAAGGTGATATTATGATGTTTAAGGAGGATGACTTGCACGAGGGTTCACCCCGAGGAAGTGCAATTATACGACTCCTGTTTTACCTATGTTGAGCCAAGTATGGCCCGGTCAAGTACATGTACAAGTAACGAATTATGAGTAAGCAAGATGAGATATGGATCATGTATAAGATTACCAAATAAGAGTGATTTGGTATCATGGTCAATTACATAGTAATTAGGGCTCCCCATGCTATTACTCCGTTATGATATGTTATGTCACACCCCTGATGTGGTGTTGACCGTTGATTCATCATGAGATATGACCACACCCAGAGTGGTGTTGGGTCCGATATGACCACACCCATAGTGGTGTCAGGTCCGTTATGACTACACCGGCAGTGGTGGGTCCGATATGACCACATCCACGAGATGTTTGGTCCGTATTCCCGGGAGAGTAATTAGCATGGGAGTAGCCAGGCGCCTATAAGTAAAACATGATAAGACGCATATGCATAAGTCAAGGTGGTTGAGTCTTTTGCCTATTGGGATGTCGGATGGCTGAGGTCTGATCCTAGTGCTTTGGCTTATTTGCTAGATGTATGGTAGAGGTATGCTCTGTTATGAACTCACGATGCTATGATTATCTCACTCAGCTATGAGCTGACCCTCTTTTATTCTTCTTCTCTGATTATGCTATGTGTAAGCAGATTATCAGCAGCAGCAGTAGATAAGTGTTAGGTGGGAGCTTAGCAAGAGTTGAAGGCAAAATGAGGTATGGTCTTCAACTA